AGAGAGAGAGAGAGAGAGAGAGAGAGAGAGAGAGAGAGAGAATGGGCACATTTAGAGATAACGGAATTTGAAACTCAATCTAGGTGACATGTTTAATTTTGGAGTAGCCCGTTTAATGTATTAACTAAGGATCCGGTTTTCGCGAATCATGTTGATATAGATATTTTGGATCCAAATTTTTAGAGCTTTGTAATCTAAAACATAAGAATCAAGAATATGTAAAACTAAGTAAATTTTTAAAATTTGAGACCGATAATATTTTGAATTTTTTTTTACAAAATCAATTTGATTTGGCTTTCTTTATAGCCCTCCATATTAAAGATGGGCGTTTAGTTGGTGAAAGGGATCCATGCATCCCCAGACTCATCAAAACACTTTTCTACTGACTAAATTGGGTGATATCTTTACAAGATTGAACATTGAATAGAGACCACCTAATTTTTAGGGGGTCTCTGTTTTGAGGTACTCTTGTTTTGATTGTTATGGTTTGAAGTACTCGGAGCTTAATTTTTTTTTTTGTTGAAAAATTAAATTGCATTGTTCAAGTTTGCAGTCCTATCAAAATAAGTAAATTCCCACCTCATGAAGTCATAGTAAATTGCAAGTCAAGTATTGGAAAACTTTTACATTGATCATCTGGACTCGAACATTATGGTTGTGAAAATTTTAGTTAGATGGTCTCCAAGTGTTTTGAAGTACTCCTGTTTTGAGTGTTATGTTTTAAAGTATTCAAAGCTTAAATTTTTATTTTGAAAATTAACATGCAATGTTCTAGTTAACCTTGCTGGAAAAAAAAAAAGGCAAATAGTATGATAGGGCTGCAGTTCTATCAAAAGAAGTAAATTCTCATCTCATTAACTCATTCTTAAATTGCAAGTCAAGCATTGGAAAACCTTTACATCGTAAATTCTCACTTCACTAACTCGTTCGTAAATTGCAAGTCGAGCATTGAAATACCTTTACATTGGTCATCTCCACTTGAACATTATGGTTGTAAAAAAATTTAGGATTTCAAGCTCTATAAAAGAAAAAGTTTATATAAGGTTCAACATTAAATTGTAGAAATAATGATGCACCTCAAAAATCCATTGGAAAAGTTTGTTTTAATGTTAAAAAACCTTCTAATTGATCATCTAGACATCTAGATATATGAATATGAAAAAAAAAAAAAAAAAGATTTTGAGTCCCATAAATAATATGTCTTGCAATATAATATCTAGATTGTCCATTTTTAAGATTTCATATGTCTATAGATCTACTTAATTTTAACTATTTTTTAAAATTAAAATTTTATAATTAGATATGAAAATAGATTTTTAAAATAATCCTAAAAACATTTTACATCAAAATTACATGTTATGATAAAATTTGGAGGTGCGCCATATTGTTTAAGATTGCAAGGTCATAAAAACCGCACCCCCCCTAAAAACAATATATATCATATCAAATTATCTCAATGTCTATTTTGCCTTAAAAATAAATATTCACAAATCCGCAAGATCTATACCATTTTTTTAGTTTCAAATTTTATTGCCAGCGTTGGAAATCGATTTTGGAGCCATAGAGATTTATGTCCCCGAAAGTGCTTTTTGGACAAGGATTTGAGGTGAGGTTTTATTTTGTTTTCATAAAGCCTAGGCCTTGTGCAAAGCTCATCCAAAACAAAACAATCATCCAACATGCTTAAGTGGATCTGAGATTGTCAATCATCGAATAGGATCTCAAAGGGAGCAAGTATACAATATAAGTAATGAGTGAATGACCAAAAAATTTAGAGATCCGAATCCATTTTCTGATTTAGGATCTCGATAAAAATCACGTCCTGGAAAACTAGGAAAATACATAGACATGGGAAGCAGCGCGTCCTTATTTAAAGGTTGCAACGGGTCGCCGGGAAATTATTTCCGGCAAGGAGGAAGAGGCTTTCCACAGAGGCAATCATTCCCCAAGAACGAAGAAGCAGGAAACTTAGTCGCCGGAATCAAACCACAAAGGTGATTATAACTCACATTCAGCCCGCTTAATCCTGCAAAACTTGCCGGAATTTTCCCCTTAGCCATGTTTCTGGACATATCCAAATCCCTCAGAGTCTTTGGCCAATTAACCTTACCTAAATCAAAGCTCAGTTTATTGCTTGAAACATTAAAACCCACCAAAAATTCGGTTCTATTGAGCAGAGCAGCAGGATTTCCAGTGATTTCATTGCCGGAAAGATCGATATAATCGTAGAAATAAGTATCTTTTGGCTTCCATTCTTCGAATTGCATCTTGATCCCACATCCAGCAAGCCCTAGGGAGTAAATAATTGGAGAACTGGTGACCCAATCTGGAATTTTTCCGAGATGGAAGCGATTATGTGAGAGTTTCAGAGATTCGATTCCTTTAACTTTCATGGCCGGAAATGGATCCACCAGGAGGTTTTCCGAGAGGTCGAGGTTGAAAATTTTGGTGAGGTTTTTGAAGCTCTGAGGTACTGGTCCAGTGAGGTAGTTACTTGAAAGATCTAGGGTATCAAGCTTCTGGAAGTTGCCTAAAAAGCTCGGGATCGAGCCAGTAAGCAAGTTGTGCCCTAACTCAAGAAACTGCACCAATGGAGCATGGACGGAAATAGTCGCCGGAATCTTGCCGATAAGTCGATTGTGAGAGAGTTCCAGGTAAAGAAGCTCTGTTAAACCAGAGAGATCAGGAATCGGGCCACGAAGCATGTTATGTTCGAGGTTTAGGATCCGCAGAGACTTCAGTCGCTGGATTCCAGCCGGTATTTCACCGGAAAGTGAATTCCGGCCAAATTTGAGCTGGGTAAGCTTGGTCAGATTGGATATGGAGTTCGGAATTGGGCCCGAAAACTTATTTCCACAGAAACTGAGAGCCTCTAGTCCAAATAATTGGCCTATATTTTCCGGCAAAGCGCCATGTAGTTCACAATTCTCTATGTACACATAGTTGATGTTGGGGAGTTTGAACAGAAGAGAGGGGAAAGCACCTGTAATTTTTCTGAGATTAACGAGATAAATCCCATTGAGGTAAGTAAGTTTAGAGAGAGAAAATGAGATGGGGCCTGATAAAAAGCTCTTGGGGTCGTCTTCTTGGCCATAGAGGCTCAGAGCCGTGACTCTGTTCATTGAAGACAATGAAGAGCAAGTGATTCCATCCCATTTGCAGCAATCAGTGTTGGGTTTCCATGAAGAAAGCATAGAGGATGGGTCCTCCTTAATCAGGGCTTTGAATCCTAACAGACCTGCTACATCATCAGGGTGGCATTTTTGAGCCAAGGTGGGAGCCAGGAGATGTAGAGAGAGAGTGATGAGTGAGAGAGAAAGAAGGGGAAGAGAGAGAGTGAGAGGTTTCATGGTGGCTACTGGTCTTGTGTGGTTGCCTACATTACCAAGTTCTTGTGAAAAAGTAGACACAGAGAAGCTAAAGAGGTTGCAGAGAGAGACAGAGTATTCATGTGAGTGGAAGAAAAAAGAAATAAAATGAATAATCTCCCTTCAAAAAAAAGCAGCATTGTAAACCAGAAATCTCAAAAAGTAACCAAAATCAGTTTCGAGTCTTCCCACAAAACAAGAAGAAGTCAACAATGGATGGCCCTTTTACAGGTGAGATTTAGGGTTTGGGGCTGATTCCTAGGTTTTAGAACTTTGCTAAGAAATGGGACTCTCACCAAGTCGAGTTCTTGTGTATGATATATAAATTATATTTTTGTAAAATCAATGTAATTTATATTTTGATGCTATGTTGGTGATTTGTCTGAACCTTGAACAATCCAATTAAGGGACATCGCCAAATTTTATAATAGATGTAATTTTGAGGTAAAAAATTCTTGACTTGAGAATCTATTTTCATTTCGAATTATAAATTTTTAAGCTCTAAAAATATTTCAAATCAAGTAGATCTATCAACACATAAAAAATTTTGAAATTAAACAGTTCAGATATACTATTTCGCAGACTTTAAATCTTTTATGATGGATTTGAGATGCACCTTTAATTTTATATTTTAAGGTTGCAACCTTATATAAACAAATCAATTTATTTATTTTGGATTTTTTCAAACGTTTCTAGCAATAAATCAATTTTTTTTCCAAATCCATCTTTCATATATTTTTTTCATCCTAATTGGACTTTAATGCGAGTATTTTGATTTTTTCTATTTTTTTTTCACTTTTGACTAGCTTCACATCTTCCTTTTTAAAAATTTAAACCCTTTTTTTTTTTGGCTTGGACCCTGTTGGGGCAAGTCCACTCAGACTCACATGACTAACCTGGCTTGGGCAGGGCCAAGAGCCGAGCCCAGCCAAGTAAATGAGCCTTACTAAATCCGTTAGGGGATCAGCCGAATACCTACCGAATCCAATCTGAATCAATGGTTAGCTTGGATAAGCGTATCTCCAAGCTCTATTTTTGGTGTTTGAACCCATGTAAGTATAATAACAATCAAGTTTCTTTTCATTCAAAACCCAGGTTCTTAATACTCCGAAATATGATCCTCTTCTAGGTCTAAGAAAAGCCAAAACTGAAGATTTGGATGAAACCTGTTTGTTTATCAGGCCAGCCAAACAACCGTTTTAAGTAGGCTTGGTTACAAAATCTAAGCAGTAATATTTCCTTTTAAAAAAGTTGTATGTTTGTGTTATATCGACTGAGTGAGGGTAAATGGAGTCACAATTATCTTCGACTGTCGTATGTATGAGGGTAAATGGAGTCACAATTATCTTCGACTGTCGTATGTATGAGGCTAAATGAATAATAATAGGATGTCACCGTTATTATAAAGTTTATAACTTTTAATTTAGACTTTCGCAACCCAATTTTATATAGTGGGACCTGCTTATCCACATGCAAATGTAAATTGTCCTTTTCCAAATAAAAGTAAAAAGGGATTTTCCAAGTAAAAATTAGGTAATTTGACCTCTTAATTGTAGTGGAGCAGTCGTGCACATTAATTAATTTATAGTGGATAAGGGGACAATGCATTAAGGATAATTGTTTAGTGCGTTCAAGCGTGCACATGTTACCCTATCATTAAGGCAGAAAACATGACATGATAATTTTCTCTTTATTGGTCTCTCACCTAAAAAAGTCTTTATCATTTTTTCTCTCTAAAACCCTCGGATCTTCTCAAAAAAACATGACAAATAGATGAGCTATTCTCTCTAAAACCCATAAACATGACAAGTAGAGGAGCTCTTTTCTCTTTGAAACCCAAACGCATACAACGTTTCTTTTCGTAGTCTATCAACTTCTTTCTGACCTTCAATCAGGTCTAAAGACCGATTATCTAGTTACCCATCTTGAAATTTGGTAAACAACAAATTTGAAATTTATCCGATTACCCATCTAAAGACAACTTATTTTTGGTTGTCCGGTTACCTATTTTGAAATTTAAAAATCATCAATCCGCATTTGTATGAATTTGAAGACCGCAGCATAATAAGTGCGGGGTCCATGCATTAGTGTTCCATTTATGAATATGGACGATGAGTGGGGTGGGCTCGTCTAGTGTATCATTGAATGACACTGATGATGCCGATTGTGTGTCTTCCACCATGAAAGTAAAGATAAAAAATGATGGGACAGCTTATATTGGTCAAAATCCCGGTACAAAAGAGTGCTTCAAAGTTTGAAAACCTTCTCCTTGTTTTTCAATGTCGTGTTGTATGGATATAAATAAATATATATATATATATATATTAAATATAATTTTATAATTGAATAATGATTTTATAAAACTTTTTTACATCCATGTGTATAAAATTTTAAATAATCACTATTAAATTTGATACAGATCTTTAAAAAAATCAAATCCAAATATGTCTCAAATTTAATGGTGATCTTTGAGATCCTATACACATGCATGTAGAAAAATCTCGTATGGTCACTTCCCTAATCTTTAACATAGAGATTGTGAATACGAATGCTTTCTTTTGAAAACCAAAAATAATAATTATATTAGAAAAACATTTGAACCGTTACGATTATTCTTAGATGGACCTCTAAATTGCATATTGTAGAAACGCGGCTGAAACAATTTTCCTTTGGTTATTGTATGTTACAAGACATTTCACATGCAAAAAAAAATTTTATATAAAAATGCAACTTTTTAATATAGAACTTCGGATGCACCTCAAAAATCTATAAGAAAAAATAATTTGAGTGTTGAAAAACCCTATGATTGATCATCTCGAAATGTATGGCCATGAAAAATAAAATGATTTTAAGTCTAAGAAATAGTGTATTTTACAATATATTATTTAAACTATCTATTTTTAAAATTTTCATATGTTTTGAGATTTATTTGATTTTAATTATTTTTTAAATTTTATAATTAGATAAAAAATAAATTTTTAAATAATCTTAAAAATTTTACATCAAAATATAAGTAACGAGCTTCTACATGTTGTATGATCTTAAAAAAAAAATCATCATTAAATTTCACATATATTTTAAAAAAAGTTATCAGTGAGATCAACTTCTTTAAAATCTGTTCTAAAATTTAATGGCAACCCCGTGAATGTGAAAGGGTCTCGTACGATCGTCATTAAAATCTGTTAAAAAATTTAATGATGTGAAAGGGGTTAATAAAATCTGAAGGTGCAGCTTACCTCTATAGCCGCTTATCCGTATGCCAACAGCACCTTACAATCACTCAATGAAAACTGTCACATACTTGGAAAATATTTATTTTAGAGTCTATGCGAGTCAACAATTCACACCCACCCATCCCACTTCCTATATCACAATCAATGTGATTGTGACTTGTGCCTCACCCCTACTTAATTGTACATTTCCTCTAGGGAAAATTTGTTTATAAGACCGCAGCCCAATCAAAATAAGTGAGGCGGCAACCCTTCTCACTATTAATTAATTTGGATAGTCAGGATTTATTTTGACGAAATCACCCAAATAGCCCATTTCTGTGGCTGAAAAAAGCTGAGAAATTTGCAAAAAGAAAAATAGAGAATTCATATCAAACTAAAGTCTTCTCTCTCTACCGGAGAAAAATAATAAAAATGAGCTCAAATTGGAATAAAGATATTACGGGGATAAATGATCTCTCTCTCCATGCAATGCGAAGCCAAAACCCTGAATATATCTCTCCATGCAATGTGAAGCCATATCAGAATCAACTGAAACCCCCAAAAAAAAAACATAAATCCGTTAGCAATAGCCTCAAGATTTAGTAGAAATGGGAAAAGAGCCCAATTTCAGCCCAAGAAGCAAGCTACTTTTAAACTACGAAAAATACCAGGCATTATTTATATGAGAAATATCCTATACCAGGCATTATTTTTATATACTCTATAAAAATTAGGATGAGATTATATTTATAATATATATTTACTGCCAAGTCCGCATTTCTACATATGTGGGCTTGGCCGCATAAAACCGGGTCCATAACTAAAATAAACTTTAATGCGCAGATGCATGGATATATTGCAAGCAAGCTATTTGGCATGATGCTCATGCGGGGACTTTGGTACATATATAAAGAAGTGAGAGCATAGTATGGTCCACAAGTTTTGCATCACAACATGGTCATCTTAAGTCCCATCAAATAGATTGGAGGGTGATGTATGGAGAATGGGTCCCACGAAAGATACCATTAGTTCAATTGCACGTCCCGCTCTCCATGCATCACCGTCTCATCCATTGACTGGGTGGTGATGACCGCCACCATGGCGTTTTGATGATCATCATGGTCCAACGCCTTCATTGGTCGAAATAGAAATGGGATTACAGTTGCATCCCAATCCTTTCATGCTACCTTCTTCTCCCTAAACCGATCCATTGTCAGTAGAAAGGGTTTGAATCTCTTTCAAATCTGTTGTGTCAAAGGTACGTGAGTAGCTCAAACCCCTCAAGGATAAAAACCCAGGTTTGAACAAAAATAAAGAGAGAAAAATATCGCAAAAACTTCTAAAAACAAAACACAGACTTACATGGTTCGAGAATTGCCTATACACATGGAGAGGCAAACTTCTCTTCTAATGAATAAAAAAAGTACTGCACAAATAATACAAAGATTTTCAAGCTCTAAAACAAGATTTTTCTCTCTAGAATACCTGATGATACTAGGTAACATATCAGTGTCCTTTGAAGACGAAAGATATAAAGACACTAGCATACTATTGAAGAGCTCACTCCCATGATGAGGGAAACTGGATTCCACTGTGCGACACCTGTGTATGTGTGAAAAGCGAGAGCTTTTCTCGGGCGGAGACGATGGGGGGCATTAGTTAGAAAAGTGACAGAAACTTCCCATTTTTAAAGCTTGGAGCAGGTACGGAAACTTTCCGTGAGCCTGTAGTGGGCACTACAGTATCCAAGGTATAGGTCTTTTCACCTTTTATTTTCTCTCAACAAGGAAAACAAAGATTTTGCATATCGCCACCCACTTTCTGGTTTGAGGCTAAAGGTTAATAGGACCAAGGAGGCATGAAAAACTTGGTTTCTCTTCGCCAAAGGTCGGAAGGGGATTAAATTGTAGGATGAAAGAACGGAAAATATTTTCCCCTTCGAAGTTAAAAGTAATTGCTGCAAATAAATCATGAGCCAAAGCAAATAATGCAGAAGTAACTAGGGATTTTTCTGAACACAATTATGTGAGCATGTATCAGTATAATACTGGAGAGAATCTTTATGATTCATCTCGTCTTAGATGACTTGTGGTCAGTATGGGTCATAGAAAATTAATTTCCAACATAACCTTTCTTGGAGATGATATACCTTCAACAATTTCCCATGATGGATGCTCATCTGGGGTAAAAAAAAAAATCCAATTCAACAGCTCCAATAATTTTTACCTCATTTTTTAGAAAAGATGTTGCAAACTAAATAGGTGGAAATTTTTTCTCTGAAATTGATTCTTCTTCACCCCAAGCATCTCTCTCCTACAAACCCATGCCCTCTCTCTTCCACAAACCCTCAATCATCTCTCTGTTTGAAATTTTCAAGAAGTGCTTTTCCAAGGAGCCAAACAGGGGAGTAGTAACACATGGCAACTTTCACAGAGTAAGCAAGCTACAGTTTTGAAGGTCAAATAAGGGCAAATTTAGTTGAAGAGGACAAATGTCTCCCTATCTTTTGGTTCATAGCTTAAAAAAAAAAGACCAAAATCAAAGCCATTCATAGTCATCTTCTAAAGATAGAGCAGCTTTGGTTAATGGAAAAATCTTGAATATTCGAAGCACTACTAGAAATTGGAGTGCTGCCCAAGGACCACGCCCTCCATAATCATGTTCTTCATAGCCAGCACAAACACACAGTGAGATCTCCAAAAGAATTGTTTACTACTCATGAAGCAAAACAATTTTTATTATTCCATTGTAAATTTCAAGATATGGCCAATCTTCTTTTGGCTTGAGACTAGGGAAAGTATGCTCATATGAAATGCCGTCCCAATAGATAATGTTTAAAAAAGTAAAAAAGGCACAACATTACCGTGACAGTCCTAAAAACACAGCAGCAGATGCAATCTGCACCCGAAGTTCAGCCATGTCAACATCATGACCACCCTCCACGAGGCCCCACCTATCAACCTATTCATACGAGTCACAATCCAAAATCAACCAAAAGGAAATAAAATAATACTCATCCAAACAAACGGGAAAGGAAAAAAAAGGAAACAACTTGTGCTTTCAAGTAGCCATTAGAAAAACAAGAGGAACAGTAACCTGCAGGTCCTCTTCGAGTCGGATCAGCTTGATGGCCTCCTCGATTTCAAGCTTCCCACAAAAAATTCCAATAGATATCATCAAAGAATGAGCAGCTGCAGCCATCGCGTCGATTGAGGCCAACTCACAGTTGCTTGTTTTCTTTAAGAGTCTCTCAACTGCGCTCGCCAGACCATCCTCCTGCTTCCCACCAAATAGGCTTGTATAAACCACAGGCCGGAAACCAAACTCACTCTCTATCCAATCAAACAATGGATCGATAGCTTCTACTTGACGTTCTGTGAATTGAAAAAAGAAACGCCATGAAACGTTAAAAAGACTAAGAAATTCTACGCACTTCTTTGTTTTCTGTGAGTTATACTACCAATAGAACAAAAGGTGTTATTAGCGTAGAGTAATTGGTACTTAGCCAGAGGCTGGTTCCTCAAACATACCAGCATATAACATTCTTTTGATAATTAACCATTTTGAATGAAAAGTATTTCAAGTCAAGCAAGATTCATCAGAGAGAAAGAGAGAGAGAAGAGGAGGATGTTAATGAAAAGAGAAAACTACAAATTGCACATTTTGAAAAATCAATACGCTAGCTTCAGGTAAATTTTAACGATATATAAGAGTTATACACAATATAACACCTTTTGAATCTCGAAACATTTCAAAATTTGAATATTTAGACAAACTCGAATATATTGTTGAAACTATCACATTATAGCTACATACATACCACATCGTATCATTAACATGGAATAATGAATGTTATCCTTCATCACCAGGCCCTAAAACTCCTAAAGCTTAATGGTTTTACTATAAACATCAAGGTTCCACAACATGTCATTGATCAGAAGAGCACATATTGCAAACTGAAAGGCGAAATGATCATGGAGAGAACAGTATAGATGTACACCGACAACTTATGTTTTTTCTAAACTGAAAGGCGAAATGATCATGGAGAGAACAGTATAGATGTACACCGACAACTTCTGTTTTTTCTTAAAAGGGGGAAGGGGGAGGGGGGAGGGGGGGGGGGAGGGGGGAGGAGAGAGAGAGAGATGAAAAGAAAGAAAAGAGGGAGAAGAGAGATTGACGTGAGAGTCCAATTAGATCTCACATACTCTCAAATCTCTTTTATATTAAATAAATTAGCAAAATAGAAAAACTATCCATACACATTGGAAATACGATATATAGGTCCTAGTGACTTAAATGAAAGAGAAACAAAGATGGGAACTTTTAACCAATGTTTGAAAATTCACCGATCCGGATCGCAGTCGCCCAATTTGGATCAAGAATCATCCAGACGCAGTCCTATCTTTATGGAATGAATGCTGAGAGACTTCAGTTGGCAATGGGTCGGTCCCATCTCTATGAAACAGCTCTTTTTAGCCTATTTCTCCTCTCCTTATCCTAAATTAGGCTCGCTCCTCTGAAGGGCCTTGGTTTCAGCGGTCCAATGGATTATCTCGGTGAATGCAATTGTAGAATTTTTAGAGCAAAGAAGAGAACTTCTGTCTTTATTCTATATGCACTTATATCCTTGTATCCAAGTAAAGAAGAAATACTTGTGCCAAATGTAGTAATAGTTGCACCAAAACTTGGAATGTTCCATTGTTCTCTTTCTTTCATTTTACGAATAGTATCTTCTACGGTACAACAGAACCAATGAAAGGGATTAGAAAAAAAATACCTTTTCTACAACCATGAAATTTTTTTTCTATATTTCCCATCCAATTAGAAGAATAAGGTCATGCCCTATTTGTAGTAAGAGCAGCTATAGAAATAGCTGCATGCAAAATGCCTATACGAACTGAATTTCCATTGTACTGCTCTCTCCATGTGTGCATGTGCTCCCTTCTTCTTTACCAATGAATGGCAAGTCTTCATGAAATAACTCAATGAGATGCCATGGTGGATTATGCCAGAATTCTCACCTTTTTTTGGCGACAACCCACAAAGACCTCAAAATCTACTCTAGGGCAGACTTTGTCGCAAATTGGATGTACGTCATCAAACACGAACCCCCCCCAAAAGCACCCAAGGCTGCTTGTGGATCTAGATCATGGTAACCATCAAACTAATTATGCACGGTGGCTCTTTGGGTAACTAGGGGCTTCGTGGCCACAGAGATATCTCCAGAGATTCCAAACCGAAGAAAATGTCATTTCCTCCTTCCATCGTTACCTTGGCCTAGGTGAATCCACTTGGGCTAAGGCTAATGCATGCTAGAAGGTTCAAAGAGGTTTGATCAGAACTGAGGCCATTACCTCATAGGGGAGGGTGATTCTAAAAATATTATTGGTTGGGCTTGTAGGAATACTCAGTATCATTAAAGATCCATCTTTGGCCACATATTTCATTTTTATAGGCATCGAGTCGCCCTCCGTCATTTTTGGTGGGAAGCCAATACGGCAGCAGACACTCTGGCTAGGTAAGGGGCTGCTGAGGGTGGTGCCCTAGCTTCAAGAAGCCCCTTGCTTTCTTCTGCTTTCTATTTGGTTCATTTCTCTCTTTATTTTTCTTTTAGGTAAACTAACTGTAATTTCCATGTATTCTTCTCTCCACTCTCTCTCTAAGTACTTATCTTCCTAACTTCATCTTTTCAACTGCTTCTGTCCCTCTTCTCCATCTTCTATCTTTATTACGTCTCTCTAATATCTGACAATACCCCACGCCTCGTTCGTCTCTCTACTACTGTCTAGCTACGATAACCACTACCTGGCTGTTTCTCTCTACTCGCTATCCCCTACTTCCACTATCTCTACATTTCTTCTGCCTCATTGTCCCCCCGCCCCTACTCCACCTAGCAACTCCCTCTCTGTGATCGATTTCTGCAGACGTATCCACTGCAAGTTTTTTATTCTTGGTCTCTAGCTGCCCACACCCACGATTATTTTAGATGTTGAACCCCATGTTTTGTAGGTGGGCTTCATCAAAAGATCCCCTTGTAACTCTAACTATACTTTTTTTTCTTTTTAAAGAGCACTGAACTTGTGGGATGCCATCCCCAACCTTGCAAGAGCTTATTATTTATATATACAATCTCAAAATTTCCACCAAAAATAAAACATTCTTCTCAACCTTTTATTCCACTAAATAAGTTTGTTTCTGATGATTCTTTTACTTCCACTACCACCCTATATCTCTTGAGTCTATTCAAGAAACCAGAAAGTTGCAAAGACAACCAAGGAGTCAGATCAACTTTTAAAAGGGAAAGAAACAATTGGATACAAAATGCATGTTAATGTAAACTTGATGTAGATAGACCACTTGGAAGACAGAATGTTAGACTCGTGGCATGAGGATACATACACAAATACTGTGCTGACCATGAGACACTTGCGCATATGACTACGTTGTGAAGATACATGTAGTTAAGAGTAAAAATTTGCTAACCACTATTTTAGATGGATGGACAGAATTCATTTCCTTATGAAGATATTGTTGGCATGGGTTTTGCATCGCAAAACATTTCTAATTGTTTAATAGTAGAATGGGAATGGATCCCATGAACCAATCAGAGAACTTAATGGCACTATAGATGAATGATTTTTATAAGCCAGGCACCAAAGTATTCAAATGGTAACATTGATGAAAAGCCCTTACAATCCAAAGGCAGGTACTTAATACGGAATAGACACATGGGTTATGTACCTGAAATGCCTTAAAACTTGATGGCAAGATAAACATATGGATTCCGTACCCAAAATGCCTAAGCACAAAATAATGGGATGGTTGTATGGTTCAAATGTCCGAAATGCCTAGGTGTTTAATTGTGAATTACAATCTATTGATGAACAAAATGGCTATATAGCACAATATCAATGCATAAAACAGCTCTACATCCAAAGATCAATGCACCAAACACTCAGTTGAGAAGCGAAAATCACAATAAACATGCATAAAAGAAAGTCTTAATCATTTTTCACCCAAGGAAATCCTCCACATACTCCACATGGGAGTAAAGATTGCAATATGTCAATGCACATAAACCAGAAATGGTATAACCACGGTTTAAGTGCAAGAAATCCATATTGTGGTTTGGAAGTACTTTGCATATTCCAAAATATGGCAGGAGAATCCTAAACCAATTACAAAACTCCCACATATGAAGTCAAATGAATGGAAGTCATCCATGCCCCTCGCCATTTAGAAGCATGAAGCTCTTAAGGAATGATGTTGATGCCACATACCCCACTCCTTTGGTGGTTATTAAAAATTAAAAAACATCCTGAAGTCTCTTAAAAAGAGAGTAAGAAAGGAGAGGCAGTTACAGATACCTACATAGAGCGAACTTCAAATATTTTGGCTTTGAATATCCAGTATCCAAAGAGAGAGACAACAAACATACAAAGGAAGAAAAGACAATGGTAAGGGATACGCTGTATCTTCTTTTCAAAATATATTTCTACTTACATAAATCCAGAGAATCATAAAAACCAAAAATGGGGACAATTTTGCGCCCATTTTGTTTTTCTGATGTTCTTATTTGGAAGGATCACAAAATTCGCATTGAAACACCCTCACATGGACATTAGGAAAATCAAGGACCAATGACATCAAGAAGTCTAACAACCTCATCCAAGACAAGGCCACGCATAAAAACACCTTGGATGCTATTCGGGAAGGGTGCCACACATCCTAGGCCGTCAAGGTTTATATCGGTTTCCTACTAATCCTAATTTCCCATAATAAAGATTATGAAAAAATGGGGTATCCTCCGTGGAAAACTTGGAAAGCCGTGATCATCTTTCTGTTGAGTGCCCATATACCAAGGATATTAGGCAAGGTATCATTTGGAGATTTGACGGAGTCACACCTACTGTGAAACCAACTCCAAAATCTAGTCTGATATTGGGTAAAGAACTCACACTGGCACAAAACCATTCTCAATCAATGGAAGCATCACAGTGCACGCACACTTATTCAGGTAATTTGGAAGGCAGGAAATAGGCATGCATTTGGGGACAGGACTACCACCATCCAGAATATCCTATTAGATTTACTTGGGGGCTACGATACACCATCAACCCCAACTCCGTCCCACAACAAAGTAATACCAAAGAAATATTGACCCTCATGCACTTCCATCCAATCAAGCAAGGACTCAAGAAAGCAGGCTTCTCCTGCATCATCCCCCATACTTCAGTATCACATTTGGGGAAAAGCATCAATTTTGAGTGATTCGGGTACATCTTGTACTCCAGATTTGTAATATTAAATCATTGTATTAGTCATTTGATTGACAGTACAAAGCGGCAGGACCCAACAAAACCCCAGATGGCTTAGCCAAAAAAAAAGAGATCCATATTATGACAGAAGACTGTTACAGATAACAAGTCCCTTATGTGTCAGCTTTGTTGGGCATTCTACTGACAAGAGCATGAGGCTCATGGTTTGAGTATTTCAATATCAATATACGGTTTTTTTGGGCATAGAGACAGCATTTCACCACAAAATTACTCACTTAGAATAATTATGCTCGAGATAATATCGAGACTTCCAATCTCATAAACAGTGAGAATGCTTCCAAACTCGAAATTGAAAGTGAAGTTGTTTTCTTATTGGGGTGACCAAGTGAATTATGTCACAGAATGCTGGAAATTGATCATAATTCATATATCTGCAGTCATCCTGAAATATCTCATGCTGCTCATGTTATCATCCAGTATATGACTGATCATAGTTGATCACTCATGATGACTTCACAAGATCATCCAAAATCTTTGGGACGCACATGGATGAATTGTGACTCTCATTGGCAATGATTCACAAAGAATAAGAGTTCGCCTAAATGACATTCTTCATCGGCAGTCATCCTGAAATATCTCATGCTGCTCATGTTATCATCCAGTATATGAATGATCATAGTTGATCACTCATGATGACTGTTCACAAGATCATCCAAAATCCTTGGAACACACCTGGATGAATTGTGACTCTCATTGGCAATGATTCACAAAGAATAAGAGTTCACCTAAACGACATTCTTCCTGTGGTCACGATATACATTAGAGAGCAGAAGCATACATCAGGGAGTAAGAAATAAGATATGATGCTAAAGCCACTAGCTGAAGGAACACATGATTATGTACTCATGTTATCTACTAGAATGAAAGAATTCCCTAATTTATGAGTTGCATGCTTAGTTAGTATCAATTGTATCCAAAATTCCAAACTGATATGAAGATAATGTCCTATGATTGGTGAAAAGAACAAAGAACGATTTTCATCTCATAGTTATCAAATGTGGCTGCATACGACATTAGGGGGCTGCATCGAGGCAGCACAGCAATTGGCTGCACGTATACACGATGCCTGTCTACAAGGCGCATCACATGGGTAGCCGCAACAAGGCAAGCCTTTGCAGCCGCATAATTCAAAACTGCACATAAGCAGTAGCCCATGAGCAGGGGTAAAATCCCCACCACCCAAAAAAAATTAAAATTGATTTTTTTTTTTTTAATTTCATGTTTTTGGGGGTAAAATTCATATGTTTAAGTCAACTTCTCAAGTCGATTTTGTGCTCACTTTGGAAGGGATTCCTGTCATGCACAATAACTGCCAACGGCCACTCCACTCCGATACAGCCACATAATGTGGTATGTGGCTGCAGTTAATAACTATGGACTAAGTCTAGCCATCTTTACTTATTGTATGTCAATCGGGTCTGTTTTTAAACTTTTTTTTTGGGGAATGTATTTGCCAAGTACTTAGTGTTTTGCTCTATGCTATAGTTGCTACATTCTAATATGTTTTCTTATTATCATATTGTCCTTTCTTTCTTAAGTGCTTGATGAATTGACATATTGACAAATTATCATTTTTTTAATTTGGTGAATGGTTTGGATCTTTTTTATATTACAAGGCAATCACATTAAAGAATAGACAGAAAATGTCTCTATTACTCTATCAGTGACTCAAACAACATACTCACCAGAGACGAATAATATGTTAAAATGCTTACCATCACATAAATCACAATAGCGGGATGCACATGCTTTGCACACCTAGTTAAAGCAATATAGATACAATATCCAAAACTTCATTATTTCAACTTATGGTATCGAATTCTTTGTCCAATAAATATTGACATATAAAGAACCCATAATTGGTAAAATAGGTTAGTTATAAAAAAAATCAGGGGTAAGACAAAGAAGTTTTCTTGGAAGGACAATTTCTTTTTGGAAATGATTTAGAAAGCACATAGGAAAAGTGATGTAGATAAGATGCTTCTCACTGAGGAGTTTCTTTTTCAAATTATATTTGGATCAGATCAAGTATAGAAAAAGATAGGCATAGAATTGGACTAGGAAGTCCACTATGCTAAACCCGTCTCTGTAAGATCTCCTAAAACACCCTACCCTGAATTCACTCCAGACAGTTCCTCTCTCTCTCTCTCT